GACTTTTACAGTTTTTAGGTCACAATGAAAAATTCATGAAACGTAGCATCAATCAAAAGTTACTGATATGCTGCTTTTCCTCAATAAGCCTCTCAAGTATAAATTATTATTGTCATTTCAGGCACACCATCAAGATTACAGTACATCTATCCTTCTCTCCAACCCATCATCCATCCATGCATAGTGGGATAGTACCAGACATTCTAGTCCTGAACAAAACAAACTATATGTGATGCAAAAGAAGAGATAAGTGTCAATGTGACTCAAATAAGGGTCAGTAACATTAACATAAGATAACAGCGAGGTTACACAAAGACCGAAAAACCGGCTGCTGTGAACATCTGACTACAGATTCAAAGCAGAAACTGTCAAACTCTGCACACACAGATTTAAAGTAACTACTGTTCATTACAACTTGGGTTTTGTTTGGTAGAACTGGCTGTTGGTTATATTGGTTAAAATGTTCATGTTTGCTGCCCAATGGACCTACTTTTCCTACTTGTAGATTCTCATTACAACCCACTTATTTTCAATTTGCTTCACTTTGTTACAGTCCAGTTTTGTTTTGTTTTTTGTAAAAGTAAAATGGTTTTTTGCTTTGATTTGATTGATTCAACATATCAAATATATAGTATATAGTCAAATACTGAAAATGCGGAGGATAACACAAAAAGGTTTTTATTAATATATTAATATATTTAGCAGAGTTTAATCAAACAAAGACATCCGCTCTTTGTTAGACATTTTATTTACCTATTCCCTTAAGACATGTTTTTTTTTACACTGTATCCATTTAATTAGGCTTATACTTAGTGCTGTCAGTTAAACGCGTTATTAACGCCGTTAACGCAAACCCATTTTAACAGCGTACATTTTTTTATCGCAAGATTAACGTTCTTTTTGGCCGAGCATACTTTGTAGTTTTTTTCACATGCTGTTGCAACAACTAATAACGTTAGAAAAACTACAACACCACACCGGATCTAGCTAGACCGGAAAAGAAACAACAGGCACAGGATCCACTTTTCCATGTTGATAAGAGCATTGAAATGAGAAAAAATAACGGGACAAAAAGAAATCAAGGGACATTTAGAAAAGATAAAGATGTGTGATTAATTGTGATTAATTGCGAGTTAACTATGATATTAATGCAATTAATCGCGATTAAATATTTTAATCGTTTGACAGCACTACTTATACTTCATAAAAAAAAAAAACATAATTCTCAAAACTGTCTGTCTGCAGCATTGTGCATAAACATAACTTATAACTCATAACCAATTCAATATTAGGTTACATTAAAACAGGCTATGAATTCATTTCATAACTGCAAGCTGAACCCTACTTTATCATGTCTTTCTCTGCACACAGCTGTTTTGACTCAATTTAACAAGCCAGCTTTGGGCTTTGTCAGTAAAGCGGTGCGCTGATGTAAAAGCTCTACTGGAAACTGAAAGTGGAACTTCAGTTCTGGCATAGTTTCTTTGCACTACTTTCTGAAGTTCACATTAAGATTTGCCTCGTCATGTGTACTGAGTTTTAACAGTGCATTTTTAATATATAGTAAACAAGTAAACATCGCATGAATCCCTACATACATTCTAAGCTATGGCCACTCGGGGGTTCAGCGAGCCCCTAGACTGATGCGAACTGCGCCTGTTGGTGTAACTAATGTATGTGGCAGCCTGGGATAAGGTGGATCCAATGACAGATAAATTACAGCTTGTTTAGTTACCTAAAAAAAAAAGGTGCATTTATATGGTGCATAAGGCGCTGGTGTCACAGCTGATTAATGAAAGTAAACTAAATGAAGAAGGGGAGTGGCTCAAACTGCTTTAACATCACATTCATCAGGTTTTTCAGCCCAGTCAGCCGTCCCTTTACTGAAACGTGACTTCACAGTCACATTACAGCACTTTGGGAGAGCAGTGAGCAGACAGAGCTGAGGGGCAACTGGTGCTACCGGCGCCAAGTCGGACGTACAAAGGTAGGGAAAAAAACAGAAAATACACAGGAGTGAGCAGAGCTTTGTCTGTTTTACTATATATTTTAGTTCTCAGAAAAAATGCTATAGGATTATCACAGCAAAATATGTCAAAATAAGAGATGCTTTTATGATTTCAACTCCAATTGAACTTTAATTCCGATTAACTGTGGTTGTTTTGACGTAATCAAACTTTTGTGCCCTTGAACTTTCATTCTGTATTCGCTGCCATGTACAGTACAATAATACTACATTTTAAAGAGACATTTCCTTTGTAAGTTTGTGATGGCAGGTAATAAAAGCTACAGATAAGCAAAAGCTATTTGGCAGTTATGTCTATCAGACATGCGATTTCATTTTTTTCTGTGATTGGTTGTTCATTATGTATTTAGTGTAATTCATCCTGTTCTTGTTTCCCACTGTGTGGTGGTTGTTTGATTTTCTTCTTTGCTATGAAATGTACTGGACTTGAAAGACTGCTAGTCCTAGAGTAAAGTATTGATGAGTAAACTATTTGATGGCTTGGATTCAAATGCTACATCTGTTCAGGCAAAACAATCAATCCAGGCAGCTGGATAAATAGACTCACATTGTGGCAAGTTGGCATTTACTCCTTAACCTTTGCAAAAATCTGAGTGCTAAAATATATTTTCTTTTACACATTGCTCTTCACTTCAATTACAGTGTATGTGCTATAATGAATTGATCTATTAAGTATCCCTTATTTTCACGTATTGCTGACAAAATCCATCCAGTTTAAACCAGATGCTGTTTGCAGACTTGCCGCTGTTACCCAGTACAAATGAAGTTGACAGTGAAGACATGCAAACTAATTGATAGGCTCCGCAGACAGCTCCCCTGGAGAAAACCAGGTCGACTGCTCCAGGCAATCTATTTTCCATTTCAGGCCCGACAGTACGATGGACCACAGTCGTGGTCACACCGGTAAACAATTAAAGAGGCTCCTTCATAGAGCGACTGACTGCGACTGTGTTTTGGTCACCGGTGAGGAGACTGGTGATAAACAATGCAAGTACCGGAGGCTTTTTGGAGGACTGGGGCTCCACAGAAGCCAATAACTGGAACGCCCCCCTTTATCTCATACCACAGAAAGTTTGCAGGCTATTAACAAAGAGTGAATAAACAACAAGACTCCATATCACTATCAACAAGCCAGCTTTGCACAAACAGCTGCTTTCTTAAATTGGCAGCAAAGACGGAGCATCCTATTTTTCACAGAATTTCTAAAATTCTAAACTGTGTGGCCTTAATGGATAAAAAATTGTTGGAACATAGACAGGAAGTCATCGATTCTCTCTAATTAGAGCAATCACATTTGATGAATTGAACAGGTCTTAACTGCTGCGACAGGAAAAAACAAGCCAAAAGATGATGCTACAATGTTCAAATTCAATTTTTTTGCCAATAACTTTAAAACTGCAAGACTTCCAATACATTGTTGCTTTCTTTCTGTTGTGTACCACAAATTAATTGATTTCATCATCAGTGATGGCCTCATCAATTTTGATCAAGTTCTTCCTGCCTTTTATGTTAAAAACATACTCAATCTCTATGAAATATGTATAATATATGTGGTATGGACATCAAGTAGTATGGCTTGTACACAATACTTTCGACCATTAGCTGTTAAATAAATAAAATGTGGCAGCAAAGACTTGTCAAGAGAAGTGGGGTGTAATTACTTGATGCTCGACATTAAATTGCTTGACAAAGGCAAATTTTGCATGAATTTGTTTTGGTTCTGGTTATACGTCAGACAGACCTAATTCTTATTATTCCTACAAAGTTCCTTTATAACCCCATTGTGTTAATTGTTTTATGTTATTAAAACATCTCGCAATTAATTCTGGTGGCATAAGTTTGTCTTTGTAGTAAAACCATTGAATGCCGGTGATATCTGGTGCAGTCTAGTTATTTACAGATGTTCAGTGTCCATGGGTTGGATCCAGTGGGGGACAGGTGGGGCATACATTGCAAGGTTTCTACCACTACCAATCCACAATGCTTTACAACATTACTGTATGTTCTTACTATAAAAATATCCATTCTTGCTTTTTATAGATTTAGACCATCAAATGTTAAAGGGTTTGTGATTTTGAACCCAAGCTTTTAGAAAAGTAGCCAAGTTAACAGTTCTATATCACTGGTTAACACATTGACCAGAAAAAACTGAAGATACAAAAATCGTGCGAAATGTGAAATAAGTGATAAAATAGAAAATGTAAGACATGCATCGTCAGCACATCATACAGTACTTGTATGTGACTGTAGTTGATTTTACACTATGACTATAATGTTCACTTTTTTGTCACGTTAGCTGACTAGAAGAGTCGTAGTCCACACACTTCATTAGTCTGATATTTGCAGAAAAAAAAAAAAAAGCGTCACACTGTGATGATTGACAAACCTTTTCTCTTGTAACACAGCGCTGCTGCATGTGCTAACTGTACTAGCTGGTTAGCGGTCCTATTAGCTGACTGTATCCAAATTGGAGCTCAAGGTACCGGGGAGGTTTGGACACTACGAGTTTTGGAATGTCGGGAAGAGAAAGCATTACCACTTTTTCCATCATCATTTAACAGGCGGCTGTTCAAATATATATATGTATGTAAATAATGAATATCTTTAATCAGTCAACTATTGGTTTTAACCTTTAAAATCTTAATTAATTATCTTATATCTTTATTTTTTACACATGTTTAAGTAAAGTTTAAATAACAGTTTTAGAATAAAGCCCACCAAGGGGTAAAAGCTGATAAGCTACAGTAGTAAAAAGGCCTAATATTTCTATGGATGTACTGTAAGTCATAGGTTTAAGTTGCAAGCATAGGCAACGTTTTACCTACTCTGTATTCTCCAGACTCCAGTGACGAGGAAAGCTAGTCCAGCCAGAGAGCCGAGACCTCGATCATATCAACTAATGATTAACAGGGTTCCCATAGTAACGACCCTGGTACAGCACATAAGTGATACGTGTGTTGTGTTCTCGGCTCACCCGTCTCTGGGTCGCACTGGTGCTCACAGGGGTCCAGGAGGCGTCGTCCACACAGCTCACTGACCCAGGGCCCGCTGGCATTCTGCTGGTAGTACAACAAGATCTGGGCTGGATTCAGCCAGTCCGAGGCGTCCAACTGGCTCCCCTGGAGCAAAATGAACCTCGATCCTGAGGAGGACAGAAGGAGGAGGGGATGAAAAGGCACGGAGTATAAAGACGGGAGAAATGAGAGAGGGATAGAGGGTTGAAGAGAAGGAGGGATTGGAGAGGAGGCAAAGGGACGTAGAGAGTGAATGAGCAGATGGCAGGTGGAGGCAGGGTGGAAAGGTGCACATTAAAAACATGGAAACCAAATAACTGCAACGTAAATATTTGTTTCAATATTCATTAAAAACATATTAGTATATTTTAGACCAACTAAAATGTTTTCTGCTGAATTAGATACAGCAATTGCTCTAAACTAAAATAGAGAGTGAGGTACTTCAGAGGTGAGGAAAACTCCAACCCTCAGCGTTAGAAAACCTTCAGTAAAAAATAGTTTGACAAAAGCAGAAAATAAATATTTGATTAAAAAAAAAAAAAAACAGTTTAGGATTTAATTGGCTTCAAGATGAACCTGACCCTGCAAACACTGCCTTAAAAGCCGGAAACAACCTTCCCAACTACTACGACGTGATGTTTGAAAAAGAATGCTTGTTACTTTGTATCATTAAAATACAGTGAGATCCAGCCAAGATGACAAACCTTGACAGCAACAAAACGAAAAGATTAAAAATATTCAAACACTGAGAAATACTTCAGTGAAACAACACCTATAGTAACGAGACACTCATGTTGGTTATTATCAGTAACCACAGGCAGCCAGATGAGGCATCCACTTTATTGCCCTGCAGCCAAACACATGCGCCAGGAGGAGGAAGGTGACAGGGAAGAAAATAGACTGTTTTTGTGCACATATTTTTCATGCTGTTTGGATAAATATTTGCAAGGACTGAAATGTTGAAGGGTTCAGACAATGTCATAAATAAATGAATCACGGTTGGTGTAGTTTAATGTATGCACTGAATGATTTGAGTGTGCTTTTGTTTGGCTACAGGTTTACTGACAAACCTCGTCTTCTTTGTCCTTCCCATCAGTGCAGTGGGAAATTGTATTACGGAGTTCTCTGCTTTTCATGTATTTCTTGCTGAGCCAAAGGCTTTACATACAGCGTGCATTTAATTCAATTGTGTTTAAGTTGATGGCAGATTAAATTGGCTACAAGCCCTGGTGACTGTAACTGGATAATAACTTGGTTAAAGTACAAAGTCTGAAAGAAAATGTACAGCTCAGTTTTAACTAAAGGAACCATGTCAACAAAACGTTTGTATAGTTATTAACTGTGGAATCAACAAACAATCAATGAACAGTTTCTCATTTAATTACACAAATAACAAAAAAGGGAAGTCAGCAATTGCAAACAGCCTTAATGGCCCCTTAAATTAAGCTTAATGATTTAGCAAATAATGTAATTTAGCTGCAAATTGTTTATTTACCAACAGGTGGTCCAGCCACCATGGAACATGAATATGAAAAAGTTATGAGCATAAATCAGTTATTATGTTGATGAGCTGCATTGGTTTGTTTGCAATGTAAATTCAAATTTTGGAGCATTTGATCAGTTGAGGTGAAGCGAGGAGCAGGAGGGTGTTATTCTGTTACTTTATTTGGGGCAAATAATATTGCAGAAACTGCATATATTAGTCACTCTTTCTTAAATTCCTACTAAGCATTAAATAAATATGTATATATATATATATATATATAGTCTGGGTAGTACTCAGTTCTGATAAGTAGCTCCAGTAATACTGTCTGTTCCCTGCTCTAAATGAATGAATGTCCTGAAAACAAAATCTGAATATCTCATAAATCTCACAACACTGAGACAGCAACTGGCCAACAGCCAACGACAGCTAGTCTTGTTGCTAAACATACTGTCAAATTATATTGACTGTTTGTCAACTGTACGCAGTGTTATTGACTTTGAATCTCGCTAGCATAATGTTAGCTCTCAGGCTCGTAGCTGAGCCAACGGGTTCTATGAAAATATATGAATATGAAATGAAAAATCTCCTGTTGTCAAGTTGTATGTAACTTTCATCCTATTTACTGGAGTAGTGGCTTGTAAAACTGTTTGATTGCAAATCACATGAAAATATAAACTAATGACCTCATTTTTTCCCCTTTGGCAAATGACCACAGTATAAGCATGGTTATGCCATTATCCTGCATATATACAGTCACAAGTGTGTCTCCAGGAGTCAGAGGGCCCTGGATACCTGACACAGCAGGTGTCACTATAATACCTGATACTGAGAGGTATTGGCTGTGTGATCTCTGTAAATTAGCAGCAACACTCATTGACCAAAGCCCCGTCCATTTGCAAACATGGGATGCACTGGGCATTTGCTAACAGCGGCATATTTAATGACTTCTTGGCAGGCTCTGTGTGTCCTAGTTAGTGCCATCGCCTTTGATGATCCCTTTAAAACTAGAGCACACGCCGCAAATGGCCGCACACATCTTGTTTGCCTAATTGTGGAGAGTTGTAAAAAATTGCTCAGGAAAACTTTCAAACTTAGGACAGCCATCAGCAATGTTTCTGTTCTAATGGCACATTTAATGTCCTATTTGATGTCTCTGGTAATCATGGGCGTGAAATATTTTTGTTTTGGCATCATGAAATAGATTCTAATATTAAACATAAGTTCTTCGTGGATGTATGCAGAAAAGTATGTACTGACTTCCTTTTGACCAAAAAATAGATCAGAATATGAAACTGGAGCCAACTTGATTCAGATATTCATCATCACCTCAAGTGTGAATCTCCCTGAAGTATGCCTGAATGGACTTCCAGAGCTAGAATAAGCGGAGTGGGCACCAGGCTTAATAGTAGATTTAAGCACCACTGTGCAGCACTTCAGTCAGGGTCTAAACAGGGCTGTTATGTAGACATTTTACAATATCACATCAGATATTTATGAGTGGAAAATGTTTCATAACTGAAACACTAAAACAAAAGAAAAAAACCCTCTCTGCCTGAAACCTACATTAACCTAACAATGTTTTATGGTTTTATGAGGTTTTATCATGATGTGGTAAAGTGTAGGTTTAAGTATCTTTTATTTCTTGGTGACACTAAATTGTGTTTTGGGTTACTTTACACCTACCTGTCATTGTTTTTTTCAAATGCGATGATTGATGTGATGAGTGAGTGAAATGTCCACGTTCAGTTTGAGCATATTACATGCTTTAGACCGCTGGGCAATGGGGACACTCTTAGAGATCTTAGATGTAATTTTGACACATCTCAGACAAGACACAGATGGTAGCGGAAAACCTATTTCCACAAAATACAATTTGAGATGATAAACCTCAGACACATTCGATTTCTCCAAGTTAGTCATAAAGAAAAGTTTGTCCTGTCCCTTTGTTATATCTTGAATAGCAGCAGATATTGTTATCCTGCGTAAACACACAAACATCTCTAGATGATTACTTTCCCTGATGTGAAAGGCAAGGAGAAAGGTGTGACTCTCCGTTTGTGTGCTTCACTGTATTTGAAGGCAGACACACGCGCAGCTGTTGGCATTAATAGCTTCTTTCCCCAGTGGTAGAATCCAGATTTTCATCTGATTCACCATGACATCAAATCAAGTCTGATGAGATTGTGGAGACATTTATGGAAACATTCTAAATCGATCCCAGTTTTGTAATTCAACAGGCGAATTCGCCATCTTTCATCTCTCCTTTCAAAGTTCCCTCCCTGGACGCCTCCCTGGAATTTTAATATCTCCCTGGCAGGCCAGCGTATACCACCGGAAAGCAGCAGCACTCCGAATCAAATCAGACCTCCAGATGATAGATGAGTGAACCTAGTCACAGTCTATAATATATCTGGACTGCCAGCTCACTCCTGTGACAGCTGAAAAATGCCAATGAGCAAGCAGGAGCCAGGGCTTGGCCCCTGCGGTGCTTTTTTTTCCTTCTGCAGGTGCTACATTGAAATTCATTAGCAAGGTGGTTCAACATATCACAAAGTACAAGGGGAAGAGTGATGGAGGGTGTGCTGCGGGTGGTCACTGCGTCCTGGCCTCAATGTGCTCTGATGCTTTGAGGGCACTCTCACACACAGGCATTTGCTGTGTGGTGTCACATGGGAAACCCAGGGAGGGGGTGGTCGACCTGGCATTTACCTTTGTCTTTGAGAGAGCAAAGCGAATCGGCAGCTCGACTGCAAAACGCAGGCACTTGGTTCGGGAGATATAGCGAGCCGAACTCCCCCGGAGAGCGGCAGAAAAATGCCAGCTCAGACCCCCAGGGCTTTGAGCGCCCACAGAGGTGTGTGTGTGTGTGTGTGTGTGTGTGTGTGTGTGTGTGTGTGTGTGTGTGTGTGTGGAAGAGCTGCATTGGCAATCTGAGGCTGGTGTAAATCCTTACCGTCGGCGATGAGGTGCTCCGGCACATGTAGGATTACCCGGACTGAGAGGCTGCAGGAGAGGTGAGAGGAGTAAACCAGGCCAATCACGCAGCTGATGACACTGATCAGAGTCAGGGTGGTCTTATTGATGGGGCTCCGCGGGGAACCTGCTGCTGGAAAAAACAAACGCACAGGGAGGGAGTGGGGAGTGGTGGGAACAACAAACCACAGAGATATGTGAAGCAGTGACCGCTTTTCATTCTATCCATACCACAGACATACGCCACACAAACATACACACACACACACACACACACACACACACACACACACACACACACACACACACACACACACACACACACACACACACACACACACACACACACAACACCTGCACAGGGAGTCATTTTACAAACAAGCTGAAAAATGGGCTTAGCGCCCATGAAAAGGACCTTTGGATCAAAAACCTCAAGCCTTTGGGAGGTTTAGTCTAGGCATAGCTCAGTGGCACAGAAATAAGGTTTACCTTTGAAGGGTATTAACATCCGCGCAGGGATGTGGCGGGGGAAAAAAGAGACATGGGCCTAAATAAAAATGGTTCAGAGGTTGTTTTGCAACCTTCCCTCTTTTCCTCAGCTCTCCCTCTCTGCCAGAGCGAGAATGCCTCCCTTATCTCTTTCACTCCAGAGTGCAACACAGAAAGTGTTAAACGTGACCTCGTATCCACAGCGGCATGCTTGCACACACACACACACACACACACACACACACACACACACACACACACACACACACACACACACACACACACACACACACACACACACACACACACACACACACACACACACACACACACACACACACACACACAAAAACACGATGACCTTGAATGAAGCCATTTTAACCACTTTGTTTAAAGTGGTTATTTTTTCACTAGCAGAATAACTCTAGATTACATTGTCACTTTTAAATTACTCTGGCAGAACTTTCTCATTCAAAAGCTGCCCAAGGCCATCCTTTAAACAAAAGCCAAATTAGAAAGCTGACCTATTCTATTATGTATAAAGCTAGTTTATTTAATCAAGTAACTTACCCCAAGACTGGATGCCGGGCATTGTTTGACCTTTCTGACATCCTTTTATTAAATATATTTTATTTGTACATTAGGCTATTACATAAAAAAGTGTCATATTTCAATATTCTCATCCTTCCTCTCATCATTCGTCTGACTCGCAGAAACACTTCTGTCATGCCTCATGAATCATCCTTTCCTTTGGATCTAAACAACATAGTTGGAGCAGTGTTGCAACAGCTTTTGTTCTATTCTTAAGCCTCGCTCTAATTAAAGGTGTTGGCTACACTTCTGGAGGCTTCGCCGTGTTTGTGACACCTGTGCACATGACGGAGGAATAATTGGCTTGGAGGCGTTGTAAAGGCTTGTAACGCCTTCTGACAGCAGCTATTATTTTGAGGGCATTGTCTCTTTATTTATTTCTTTTATGTTTTCCCAATGTCTCTCTTCAACACACCATTACTGTACATCAAAGCTGCAAGGACATGGCATGCGGACAGATAAAGCATGCTGCACCACATCACTTTGACAGCATTTTCACAGGATCCTCTTCAGAAATAATATTTGTGTGTAATATTATTTCAAAAAAATAGTGTGTTTCATGTCGCAAGGTGCAATCGATATCAAAATATTCACCCGCTTAAAACCTCTGATCTCATCGTCTTGTTTAAGTTCAGCCAACAAGATTGTATGCAGATGCACCGAGATCAGTGTAACATGCTCACTGTTAAAACATTCTACACACACTTATGTATACACACAACATACTCTATGTACAATATTTCCTTTAGGAGTCAGAATCATGAGCACACACAACACTGGAGTCATCCATCGGCTATATGCACTGCAAAGATTACGTGTCATGCGTCGTGGCGATGGTACTACCATCAAACGGCGGGATAAACTGTCTGTAGGTGTATGAGTCCTCCTTACCCCCTGAGCCCCACGCGCTGTTGGCATTACCATTTCTCATACCTCGACTCCGGCGGCGACTGCGGTTTGGGTCGGTGTAAAAGGCCAGCTGAGGCTCGCTGTCTGCCTCCGTCCCAGAGTCCCCGTCTGGGTTCAAGAAAGTTGAACCCGCTGTTGGATTCACACATAAAGAAATAAAAAATATACACCTACAATGGGGGTGAAAAAAAAAAAAAACTTTCCAACAGTGGGGAGTTTGTCCTCGGGTTGGCCTCACAGGGGAAGGCTGAACACAAGATGAAGCCACTGCTGGACTTGTGGAAAAAGATCAGAGCATAAAAGTTTTCTTCAATCAATAATTGAAATGTAGGCTAATGGAGAGGGAAGCCAAGCAGAAAGTTCACGGTATCATACATTAAAGAAAAGCTTGAAAACAAGCCCACCTCCCCCACCCCCTATCAGCTCACTGATGTAACATTACGGAAAACATTTTGTTTTTACTCATCCAACTAGAGTGCATTAATTATTAGATCCTTCAGTGGACTAAAAGAAGCTCAGCCATAACATCTTATATTAAAACTAGTAAAGACTAAGCCATTCGTTGGGTACTGCACACAGAATCAGCAATGAAAGTGCTCCTTGAGGTACAAAGAGCGGATCTTTATTTAACATTACAGAACTTGTTTTGGTTCAAATTTGGGTGAACCAAAACACTAATTTCCTCTTCATCATTTTAACAGTGTAGCTTCATTTGTTTTGGACACATTTGAAACTGATCTGTGTGGCCAAGAACTCGGTCACATCAGCATTTAAAAACCGCTCGTTTTTAAAACCAGAATGTTCTCCTTAAGTGGAATCGTCAAAGTCAGTGAATCTGCTCACAGAGGTAAAGCTGCTTTTAAGAGTTCAACCCTGGTGACCTCTGACGTGCAAATTCACACAATGGACCAACTGAAATGGGTTAACAGTGCTGACCTTTAAATGGAGAAAGTTACTGGATCATATTAGCTGCATGCTCCATTCACTTTTGTGTAACCCTTTTCTGCCACTGTATAAACTTCTCCACAAAAGAAAGCAGCAGTATTTGTAGCCAGCCTTGAGAATTTAAAAGTTTCCATGTCTTGTTATGTCTTTCTCCATTTCTCGTTCAACTGCGGAAGAGCACTGACATCAGATTTATTGTTGCTGCTTCTTTACGAAATGGTCACACTGCTTTTAAAATGCTGTTTTATTGTTACTTTGAAGTAATACTATATAAATGTACAACTGCTATTGGATTTAGCATATATGGCAAAACACAAGTCGATCAGAATAACACTTTATATCTCTCCGAAATGTTGCTGTCACAGATCAATAACTCTGCACTGTGAAGCAGAAACAGTGCCTTATAATGGTGTTGGTACTTTTCCCTGGAGTTTCCATGGAAACACAGGTCCTTCATCTCTTGATACAGAAATATCTAAACAAAGAGTAAATTAACGGCTCAAAAAAGTGCAGTGAACTTTAAATAGGAGTGCTGCACAGTGTGCTTGGTTCATCCGATCATACCAACTCTTTTAAACTTCCCCAGTTTGATTTATTATCTTTGTCCATGTGTCCGCTCTCTATTTGCTCCCACAGCAATGCCCTTATTGTGTGACATTTCTTCAGAATTTAAGATTTCCCCTTTTACTATCTGGTTGCCAGGTCGGCAATATATATCATGAAACCAATAATATATTGTATATTGTATTTTTCATTCAATCAGTGTATGTTTTAACTTGCCTTTATAGCAGTAGACATGGACCATGACCTAATATGATCTATGGATATTATGTAACCAATTGTTGCAGACTAAAGATTTATTCATATATATATATATATATATATATATATATATATATATATATATATATATGCACATATATAGAATTGTTTTTTTTTTTACGTGTACATATTGTATATTTATACAAGGACTGCAGCTTATTTTCATTATAATTTCATTATAGATCAACTGTTGATTATTTTTACTTCGTTTAATCTATAAAATTTCCCTATCCAAACAACAGACAATCAAACCTAAATATAAAATAAAAACATATGCAATGACCTAAAACTGAAAAAAGCTGGAATCCCCACATTCAAATGAATCATTTTCTGTTTCAGAAGTACCAGGAATATTAATTTTACTATGTATACTGAGCATCGTGGACAGTATCTTTCGATCTCTGGCAGCTCGACACAGCTTTGTGGTGACAACAGGTGGCAGTAATGTATGTTTGATCTGATATTTTGTTACTAATGTATTATAGAAATATTTAGGGGGAAATGGGGGGACATTGGGGAGGTTGCAAAAGGGAATCCATTTAAAATTGTATAGATGGAAACGATGGATGACATATATGCAGTATGTGAGATGGAAAACATGAAGATTAACAGCTAAACACACAGATCACATATCTGGCTGTGGTCTTTTGCTGGACAACATGACTCCTGTTTTTTGTGTGTGTCTGTTTGCTTTTACCTTTTTTATATTGCAATTCATGTGTGTTCCAGTTGTTTGGGAAGATAATGCCATTCTTACCATTTTCTGCATTTTGAATTCTGGTGAGATAGCAAATGTCCCTCTCTTCAAAGTAGAAAATGGCAAAAATCAGCAGTGAATAGAGCCTGTATGGTGTGTCATTTAAAGCGACAATAGCTTAAGGATGAGGGCTGATATAGGAACAAAACAGCTTGATAAACAAACTGCTCTTACAATATAATGTGTCTAAATGCATTTCAGCTGAGTGTGTTTTAGCAGAGGCATTAGCTATATTTAGAGGGCATGTATTGAAGCTTGTCTTACAAGTGTTAGCGGATTGCGAATCACAAAGTGAGGGGAAAATCCATCAAAGCAGCAAAGATTTGCTGCCTCAGCGGGATGTATGTGAACTGAAATAAAATTCATGCTAACGTTGCTCAGTGACAAGAGCTTTAAAAATCCCCAACCAAGACGCAGCGTTTGATTAAACTGGAGACGATCCCTTCCAAAAAAAAAATAATGGTGGGATGAAAACACTGTTGGCAGCAATGTCAATGTAACAAACTGAGAAGGACTTTTTCATGACAGAGGCTTCATCAGCTTTTCATATTGTTGGTTTTAGAACAATATGCACTGAAGATATGAATGCGCAGTGTAAATATTATTGGCAGCCATGACTATCTGACAGCACAGATGTTGGCGTTGCTCTACTTCACAAGTGGGAAGGCTTTTTTGATGACACCATTGTTTCAGCATTTCACACGACTGATTTAATAATAAAGCAATATTCACTGCACAATTTCCCCCCAGAAATGTTTACTGGCAGGGAACAAAGTCCCCTAGAACAGTATTCAGTGTGCCATTAAAACTCTGTGAAGTTAAATGAAGACAAATAACGTCTTCATGCAGTGATAGGGGAAACAGAGCTACTTCTTCAAGCAGACAATATGTTCCAATAAGTTCAAAATGAGAATGAATAAGGAAACTTTAGTTAAATATCCATAATGCAGGCACATTTTGATAAAGTTTGAAGAAAAAAAAGAGATTTGAAAAACAAATTCATTTCATTTTAAATGATTTTGTATTTGTCATGTTTTAGTTTTGGTTGTTGTATTGCTACCTCAGTCTCTCAGACCAGCATGTTCTATTATATATGCTAAAGCTGGATGAGGATGAAATAAACTAAAACACAGGAAGAAAAGACACAAAACAGTCAGATCCATGTCCATTAACAACTATTTTAACTAAGACTCAAGCTGGGTTTATAGTTGTGTACTTAGGATGACAATAGAGACTGCTGATAGTGAAGACAACATTAAAGTAACACTGTATATACCCTGTTCTTGCACTATGTAACTTTTGGTCTCGGGTCGGAGCAAGTGTGTAAGTTTTCAGGTCTGGGACAGTGGAAGGAATGCTGCCGTAATGCCGTGCTGGTTGTGCCAGAACCCGGAGCGGGGCCAATGGTCAATGTAACTGGCCGGGCTCAGCAGCTTCTGTGGACATAGCTAATGGCAGAGGCGAAGAGACCCAAAAGGACGACAGAGGAAGCAAAAAGAGAAAAGGTAGAGTGAAGCTGCTTTTTGTGTCGCTGGTGAATGCTTGGTGAAAATAAAAGGCGAGCTGAGCTTCTTGCTGTTCGACTAGCCCGTAAAATGAGCTGACTTGCTCTGTCTTTTGTTGCTGCACTTCCTTGATGTTTGGCTATGTTAGGGACGTTGTCGACTTACTACTTTCTTATCATAAGTAATGTAATCAAAACAAATGCACCTGTACAGCTTCTCATATGTATCAATAAAGACTGTTAAGCAGTCTTGAAAATGGTATCAATATCAATAAAAATTAATGATCCCCATCCGTAATGTCTAGTCAACGGGTCAAATACGATACCAGCAACTATAAATCAAAACTTTCAGTGGGAATCTGTTTAACTCTTGCGTCAAACATAAATCAGAGGATCACCAAAGTTATTCGATGTATCAAAGTCAGTGAGCTTCATTTTCATCTGGGGACAATGAATGTATATTTCAGTCTGGACCAAAGTGGGTGACTGAGCAATCCATAGATTGACATTGCAATGCCTAAAGCCGCACCGCTAGTGTGGAAAAAAAAACATTTATTTATTCAAAGTTTTATCAGATTGGGTTTCAAACACAATGCAGGTGTTTTGGTTTTAGCAGGTAATGAATAAGCTGATCTGGAGCCAGCTGCACAGATACATAACTATCTTGTAATAAACTCACTCACAATGTGTGTACACTATATATTCTGTTTTGATCATTTTGGTGCAAGTTGAGCAGGCAAGCCACTTAGTCTTATCTAACAACAAATAAAACTAAATGAGATCATTTAACAGAAGCTGCAGTCTTGTAAATAAATTATAGCCTATACAATATACAGGCCTTGTGCCCTCAAAATTAAATTAAATTAAGTAGTGTTAGCACAAGTGCGTGTCTGGATGTTCTGCCACCTTTGTTGTACAAACATAATTTCAATTACCTCTTGCCACTGTAGAAAGTGACATTGTGCAGGGTTTTCCGTAAAGAGGTTGGCAAAGTATAGGAAGATGGAGACATGTTATCCTCTTCTTTCAAAAGACTTAATTCTGACATTACTGAGAACCCAGAGACCTTTCAGATATCTGATTTCTGCAAAGCCTGAATATGTG